ACACACACACACACACACACACACACACACACACACACACACACACATCAGCAGGAAACAGCCACTTCCTTTTTTGAGTTCCAGCTGGGAACTATGCCTGTTTTATCGGCGCTGAATTGCTGGATATGTGTGTGATGTCACTGTGGTGCACCACATTGTGGCCTCTCTTTGGACACACACACACACACACACACACACACACACACACACACACACACACACACACACACACACCCTGCAGAGCCCCACAGCAGACCCTGGGCATGGAAACCAGGGCCAGCTGCTGACTTGACCTTCCTCCTAGAGAGGCTCCTCAGATGAGATGCCAACTCTCCTCTTAAACTCCCCTCTACTCCTCTGAGCCACGCAGGGACATTTCTGTCTTTGTTGTGTGTAGGATCGTCCTCTCCTTAGTGTGAAAGGGGAAACTCAAGCTGACCCTTTTCTGTCCACATGTGCTGGCTTTGATGTTGTTAATTTGGCTCCACCCACCACTTGCTGCTAACAGCTTGAAATTGCTGTATTAGTAGGAGTGGTGTTATTGGGGGGTTACTGTGGTCCACTGATGAGGTCCATATGCAGAGGATTGTGGCCAGTGACTCTCGGTGAAGAAGAAGAGCAACAGTTGAGGTTTCTGAGGATGTCAGATTTCTATTGACCGAGAAATCAAACCATGTGATCTAACATCACTGCCATTCTACACGTACGGTACATCAGTCAGAAAACTTTAAAAACGACCGACATTTTAGTGGAATAGAGAGCAGAACCTGAATCAATACTGTGTACACAAATAGCTTTTGAGTTAAAGAGAAGCTTTTTTATAACCAATGATTTGGATCATGCAGGTTGAGCACTGCGATCAATAAAGTCCACACTGATAAGAGATATCCACACAGGTTACTTTATTTGAGATTTCGGTCTAAAGGATCTTGATCAGGGCAGGTGCTCTGTTAAGTGTGCAGATGTCTCTTTCGTGATCAATTATGTGAAAATGTAAATAATATTGGAAATACATAACATACTATATGTACGATTACATTTCTTTTATTGTTCGCAAATGCACTTTGGCATGTGGTGAAAATTATAGGTGCAATTATTAAAAAGTGTATTAATTAATCAGTGGATGGAAAGAAAATGAATCTGCATCTATTTTGATGATGAGGCTTTGGTTTTTGGACAGTTGATAATACAAAACCTGACTCGGCAGATTATTTGATTATGAAAATAATTGTCTTTCGCAGCTCTATTAAAAATAATGTTGTGTTTTGCAGAAAAACGTTAAAATATGTATGATTATTTATAATTTGGTTATATAAATCCATATTATTTGAAAGGTGTTTTTTAAATTCTCATACATTCACAAAAAAAAAGACTGAACACTTTTCAAATGGTTTAAAAACTAAATATATAACAAACTCTAAAATACAATCTTGCATCATACATTGAGGAAGATGTTTTAACTTTACACACACTCTGGTGAGTGTTTTTAATTTGATGCTGTAAACACAACAGCACAATTGTTAAATAGACAAGTGTTAAGTGTAAAATACTCAACACTATGCCGGGAAGTGTAGCCCACTGCAGAGAGGGAAGCCTTGCTGTAATGACAGCAGCAGCAATCCATGCCGCTCCACACACCCAGCAGAGCTTCAGACCGGCTCTTATCTCCTCTGCAGCTGCTGCAGATTTGAGCAGAGCTGAGCAGCAGCTTCCACACCCCACAGAGGATGGTCACACTTGAACATCCACAGATAGACCCACTTTGTGCCACAGCACACTTAAACCCCCCCCCCCCTACCATTCTCACTGTGGCCTTGCCTGGACCTCCAACTCAAGATTTAGTATGGCTGACAATCCAACTGTGTACTGCTGGAGGCAACTGTACCACTTAATTTGTCTGCTGCAGACATGCACATTGTAGATGTCCTCAAGCTGTGCAAGGGAACTGGAATGTGTGCCATGTCAGGCAGTAATGTTATATTGATCATACCGCTGCAGTGTGTGTTACAGTCAACGAGAGATGTCTAAGGTAAAGGATGTTTTTACTTTCCTAGCAGCATTCTGCTTGTTGCAGACAGTGTTTCTTGTGACAGGGGGCTGTAGAAAAACAATGCTACACCTAATGACTCAGCAATCCTCACCTGACCTTAATAATTCATCACCAGTGTAGTATACCGTCGGCTTGTTTCAGAATACAGCACAGAAACTCAAGAAACCCTTCTGTTGGCGTCTCACCCTTTTAGTTCTACATGGAGAGTGACCGTGACAAGGTTGGATTAAAACCCTGGACTTGGCTGCATGGTTGGCTGATCCAACAGGACACTTCCTGGTTTAACATTTTGAGTGTTGCAGAGCGCTGCCGATGCCACTGAAAAATTTTAGCTTTTTAGTCGCAGCCATCCCATGCCCATTCATCTCTTGTGATAAGATGATACAGTACCGGTCTCCTGACAATGACAATAACCAGTATTTTCATTGTAGCTCCTCGTGGGCATTCTTCTACCAAGTAAATTTAAAGCCCAAAGTCTTGAATCACAAATTTCCATTGGAGGACTTCATTTCTATTAGGATACATTTTGCTCAGCATGTTAGTGTCGTCATATTTGTAAGAATTGCCCCTTGACCCCCCGTTCTGGCCTGGACTATTTTTCCTACATTGTATCTGTAATAATAGCTTAATATTACCTACCCCCCCCCTTGAATCAGGATGCATGCATATAGCAATCCATGTTTCCAGGTCATAGTGTCTTAGTGTTTACGTGCATATCATATAAAAGCCTCCCAGTCTATCTCCCAGTGTTTATATCTCTACTGTCTTTATCAAATAGGGCTAAATACATAAAACGATGATGCAACGACTGCTGCAAACTTTACTTTAATTACCATTAAGGTCCAACACCCTTACAGCAGTATTGTCTCAGCCTCTTTGCATTGTTGCAGACATGTCCTTACATGGACAACAAATACCTGTGTCCAGAGGGCAAACGATTTATGATCACCAGCTGTTAGACTTCAAACAATGTCTGCTTTAGTCGACGTGCATCAATGTCCACTTTTTAAGTCGGTACCCTCTTAGTAATAAGTGGCAGCAATTATTAAAAACCAGTTGCTCCAAAAGTAATAATTCATTCTTGAGAGGACAAATACATTTTTGTTTTGCAGACTTATGAATTTCTATCTTTTTGTAAAAGAGTTGTATCAATAGTGAATAGTGTTGCTACTATGTCATCACTTATGCCAATATTATGCAAACTAAGTGCAATGTCCACGTTTGGGCTCACAGCTTTGTGAGTGTAATCAGCACTCTGTGTCCATAAAAGGCAGAGTTCAAGTTAAAGGAAATCTGTGTTGCTTCTTTCCTGCACAGCCTCAGAAAGGGGATTTATGGAAGCTTTACCAGTTTTACACCAGATTGCTTCTTGTTATTTTACATAGTAAGCCTAAAATCCCTCTTTGCAGTGACAGGGGGATGGAGACCCGATCCGAGGTGTGAGAAAAGGGATAAACCAAAAAGGAGATATATTTCCTAATAGAGCAATAGGCATAATCAACATCTTGTCCCTCCCTCCCCCAGCATCTCTCTTCCATTCTCTCTCTCTCTCTCTCTCTCTCTCTTACTGAGTCCCCTCATCTACTCAGCTGCTTTCCTCCGCAGCTCCTATGACCGTACTCTCAAATGTAGTTCAGTGTGTCAAGCACCACTGAAATATTAACAGAGCAGCAGGCAGGAATGCCCGCAAGCATTTATTGCTTAGTGCACCATCATGATGTAAGGGATCACCTCACTTTCTCCATGTGTGTGTATGTGTTTGTATATGGGTGTGCATGTGTCAGCCCCTTTAATGTAACTTATTAAAAGGTGAAAGTTTCTCTCATGGTTAATCCCTAAAAAGAAGGTTCCAGAGAGATGCTAGCATGTTTTTGTTACTATGTTACCACTGCTTACTAAGTAATGGGGGTTAGCACAGCTGCTGCTGGTGGGACTTACTGTATTCCAGTAGCTACAGCATGTGCACGCCACTGTGACAAGCAGGAGATCTTTTTGACAATTCCCATTAAGGTCATAAGGGGTCTTTGAGTGTGCGACTTGCAGCTGCAGGAAGGGAAAAGGCAGTGATAAATAAATCACAATGAACACTGCCCTGTTTCCTTGTCTTCTCCTCCTTTTCCTCACAATCAGAGGCAAGGCAAGGCAAGTTTATTTGTACAGCACATTTCAACAACAAGGTAATTCAAAGTGCTTCACATAAAACCATTAAAAGCATCAAAACATAAGGCAAAAGAAAAGGAGATTTAAAAACAATTAAGACCATTCATTGAAACATTAAAAAACAGTGTAAGAAATAAAATACAGTAGTGAAATGCAGGGAATTGATTAATATATTAATTGAATCTGGTTCAATTAAAGGCAGCAGCAAACAGAAAAGTTTTCAATCTTGATTTAAAGGAGCTGAGGGTGAACCATGGGCAACCACAGCAGGTAGAAAGGTTTTTAAAATGTATTTTGACACAGATGTAACACAGCTGGATCTATATTTTGGGTTTTATAATAAGGATTATGTTAAACTGAAAGTGTCCCGCAGAAAGATAGAGACAGGAAAGTGATTTTTCCAGCCGCTTTACAAGATTGCATCTTTTTTACGACATATTTCCCGCTTTGCCATCTTTTGTCTTCCTCAATGAAGTCCTGAGACATTTCAATCAAAAGACACACTCATGGATGAATCATTCCCTGGCATTTAAAAAGCCCCTGTATGATTAAAAATGTTGTTGTTCCACTCCCAATATATCTGTGTACTTGGCAGAAAGTCCAGCTTGTGATCAAGCAGCAGCTAATCTTTTATGAAAAGAATCCCTCCTTATTTGATGTCTAGGCCTAAAAGGTTTAAATCCTCTCATGTCCTTGATATGTTTTGTAAACAGAGGTTTCTTTGAGACATGAGTCAGGTCACAGGATTTTCCGCCGGATTTCATTTTATTGCAGTAAATGTGTCTTTTTTATTAACACATTTTTTCATGAAGTATTTAATGGACAAATGAACAGATTTTGCTTTCATGAAGTATTTTTTTTTATTGTAACCTATGCTGCTTTCTACTCCTTTCCACTGTAATCCTGTGATTCATCCATTTATGCCAGTGGCTCTGGTTTCTCAGCTGAACTAAATAAGCATTCAGCCATATTGCTGTTTGCCTGACCATGGAATCAGACTCTCCCTCTGGACACAAGACCGCATTTATTGTAACCCATTTATTCCACAATTATTCATCCGGCTCCCAAAAGGAGTCTCATTTTTGCTGAGTACAAAAATGAAAGGAATTAATTAATTTCATGTGTAGTAAAAATCGACATTATGCAAATGAGGAAATGAAAAGAATGAAGATGGGAAAGCATTAACAAACGCACATAGTGGCTCAAGAGGAGAGTGAGCAAGTGACTTGGTGAGTGAGACAGAAGCACGTGCGAGCTTGCGTTGCACCGAAGCTCAGCATTGGTTGAAGCTGCAGCAGAGCTCACACAGCATCCTTCACCCCCCCATCCCTCGCTCTCTGCTCTACCTCACTCACTTACTCACTGGATCTCGTCTACTGACTGAAGTATTTCCACGAGCACAGACCGGGGCAGGCAGCTAGGAATTACAGTGAGACTCTGTGTGTGTGTGTGTGTGTGTGTGTGCATAAATTCTTCCTCCAGCCCTCCTATTTGGCTCTCCTCTCTGGATCCTTTTCGCCTTGACACCAGCGCTCTCTCCTCTGGCCAGGAGCTGTGGATTTGCGGGTTAGAGTTGGAGATCATGGACCAGGGAGGAGCAAGGGACAATCAAGTAAACTGGGTCACTGGCAGACTCTCCTAACTGATGCCTGTTTGGACCTGGAGGAATGGGGTGCACCACCAGCACGGTTGTGATTGATGGGCTGCGTACCGTCTTAGAGAGGAACTGTACTGGCTACATCTGTAAGGGAGCAGCTGAGCCCATTGGGCCATCTGAGGCTGAGCGAGCGCTGAGCAGGAGAGAGTCGCGTGCATTGCCAACACCAAGAGTACTTAAGGTGTGTGTGTGTGTGTGTGTGTGTGTGTGTGTGTGTGTGTGTGTGTGTGTGTGTGCAGACACATTATGTTTAGTGTTGTGCTGTTCATTACATTCAAATGGACAACAATTATATATTAGAGCTGAAATTATACATCATTTTCATAATCAATTTTCATCGTTTTGTCTATGAAATACCAGAAAATGCCTATAACGAGTACCCAGAGCCAGAGTTAACATCTTTAAGATCATTGTTTTGTCCGGGTATCAGTCCAACAACCGAACATGTTCAGTGTTCTTTAATATAAAACAGAGAAAAGCATAAATACTCATATTTTGAAAAGCAGGACAGCAGTGAATATTTAGCACTCTGATTTGATAAATTACTGATTACAATCGACTATCAAAATTGTACAACAGTCGCCGCCACTAAATTTGCTGTACATTTCCTTTCAAACTAGTTTTTCTGCTCAGTCAGCTGTCTCGTAATGTTGCTGTATCATACAACTAGTGATGAGACGGCAGCAAATAATCAGAAATGAGAAGCTGGATTTTTGTTTGATAAATCCAAATTCTTGATTCATTTTCTGTTAATCGACTCGTGCGCTCTTGTACTCATTGTTTCACCACTAGTATATACTGTTCAGCTGAGCATATAGAGCCACATGCTGTGTATGAAGTCATGCCTTTACATGAATATGATAAATGATTCCGACGTTAATGATATTAGTTTATGTACAGTCAGGGCAGGTTTGAAAAGTGCGACCATTTTCCCATATTGACACAGAACTACACTTTCTGGTGTTAAATGTTGCTGGCACTGCATTAATGCTTTTCATATTTGACAGATGCAGCTACGGCAATATACTAATAATAATAATCATCATCATCCTCATTTCTGCCATTGTGAATTTGTAGTATTTGAGTGTTAACTGTATAAAATGTAGGGCAGTGGGAGGGCTGGATCTTGCCTCTCACTAAGCGCTGCTGCATGGGTTAAAGCCTCTGTGGGCCGGGATGTGGGTGAGGGGGGGACAGTGAGCTCTGTGTCTGCTGGAAATCAATCACCGCTTTTCATCTGTGAACCGGGGGGCTTCTTGGCACGACTTCTGCTGCTCCGTACCAGCTTGTCTTGCCCTTATTGTTTGTGTTTACTTAGTATACTGTGTGTGTGTGTGTGTGTGTGTGTGTGTGTAAGGTCTCCTTTCTGTCGCTGGTTCATCAGAGCAGAGGGACAGTGGCCCCGGCTGAAAGCAGAGAATTAGGTCAAGGGCATGGTTGCTTCTCTTGGCTCAGGGATGGTCTTATCATCCAGACGGGGTCAATTAATCCTCTGTTAGCATTTAGCAGTCTTACAAATCAATAGTTAAATGTGTGCAGAGCATGTGGCTTGCCTGACACATTTTTGTCAGAGTTCAACTCTATGGCAGTAAAAGGTAATCGGCCGAGTCAAAAGCTAAATGCATCAATGAATATTACTTACTGAATCCTTTTCCTCATCCTCCAATCAGTTGATACGACACATGAACTCTTACATAGGTTACTACACTTTCTTCATGAAACTACACCAGCAGGCCAGTACATGTACAGTAATGTTAATACTACTACTACTGAAGCATACAAACTGTTGTAACAGTAGATAAAGCAGTTTAAACTGTTTGACTTATTGATATTGTCAGTTTACATTTTTGACTCATCTGATACTTTACTGTTGTTTGTTTCGTGGCGCCACTGTAGGATACAAGGCTCCACGTCTTGTCCTGTAGACTCTGACTTCAACTTCCTACAAGAATATCTCAAATTGAGCAGCAGCTCACGCAGACCTTTCTGTTAGGACGTTGTTCCTATTCACTATTTGCACTTTTTTAATCCATTAGGCCTGGCTATAAAAAGACATACACCATTATGTTTGCCCTTTTAATTATTTCTGATTGCAGCAGGTCATTATTTCTGGGAATTTAAAACCGAGATGATGGCGTTAGAGGCCAGGCACACACACACACACACAAACACACACACACACACACAGACAAAGCCGTCTATGGGAGGCTGATCTGTACTCTCTAGGCGTGGAGTAATTAAACAACCTGTTTTAGCTTTTGCACTGCGCTGTTATTTCATGAGATGATTGCAACAGCTCTGCCTATTCCTTCCTCATGGAAACTCTCATCTCATGAGTCTCCTCAGAAAGTGACCTGCCTTCAGCAATAAAAGTCACTGATTTGAGGTAATGCATCAGTGTGTATGCTATTGTAATTCAATAGTGTCATGTTTCGCTCTCGTTCTCCAGAAAACTATCGAGAACACCTTTTGAGTGTTCATGTACGGTCATTCTCTGCTTTTACAAAGGTACAGTTTCCTTCCTTTATTTTGATTAAATGTTTGAATGCTGTAACAGAAGCAATCAGGTGTCTGATGGTTTCATCAGAGGTATGTTGTTGCAGAGAAAGAAAGAGAAATTGGTGACGTCAGCTCGTCCACAGATGAAAGAGCCTATTATCCGATGATGTTTTGGGAGTAATGCTTCAAACCTGTGATGGGTTTTCCTTTCAATGAACCATGCCTAATGAGTCAATTATACTATTTCTAAGTTCCTTGTTTTGGGGAGTTGATGAAATACTTAACCAGCTCTGCATGTCATCAGCCACAAACATTTTACAGATTAAAGCCATTTTATAGATTGAATTACTTGACTAATGCTCTCCTTTCCTCTTTGGCAAAGATGCGTCATACTCTCGGTTTGAGCATGTGTGTTTAATATGACATTGTGAAATCTTTGTAATTCCCAGCCTGTTCACACAATATGGAGGATAAAAAGGGTACTTATTCATTAACAAACAGATATACTGATCATCATTTCTTCATTTTTATATTTCTGTGTCTGTATGCTAATGAGGTAGGTGGTCCTAAACTCACTATAAAGCAAGACTGGTCCCAATTAATTACTAATGAATTTATTATTAATTATGTAACAATTTACTGATTAAATTGTACATTTTTGTCAATGTAAATCAACTTTAGTTGTCACAATGCTGAGAGAGTGTATGTGGCCGCATGCAGCCTAGAAGAAACGCTGCACTGGGCGTCTTTTTTTTCAGAGCGTTCCAACTCTTTCGTGCGGCAGCTCCGAGTGCTTTTCTGCCGTAGCAAAACACTATATGGACACACTCCTTAAGTCACTTGTAGTCCTCGAAATAATCATTTCCTGTATACAATACAGAACAGTCAGTATCAATACATAAACATTTACTCTGCTCTGCTGATGTTTTCTCTTTGATATCACTCTGAAGATGTAACATTTGACAGATAACCAGCATTGCATGCACACTGTGATCACACCCCTGAGGACACTGACAATCAATAAGATCCCCCTCCCTACAGCTTTCATTTCTCAGCTTAATGGATTTACAGTAAAACAATAGCACACTGACGGGGTTGTTTTTCTTGGTGATTGCTTCCTACGTTTGAGACGTTTCAGCCACCCTGGCGTTGCTCTGAGGAAGGCTTCTGACGTCACACCGTTGATGTGTTTGTGTTTGCGTGTGTTGCTGTGATGCTCCTGATATACGGGACCATTATCTCCAGCACTCACATACTTGAAAGACTTTCTGGCAACAGTAGTTTGATTTTCCCACAGATTCAACGGCAGCATTATTCATATTCAATACTGTTAGTTACATTTAAGGCCTGCACGGATCAATATAGCTGTCCTAAATTATCGTCTGTCGGCCTGTCTCATCTTTTAAGTATTGTAACAAAGATACATATAGATTGTATTACTGTGTGTACTGCTGTTCAGTTACTCAAGCCTCAAGACTTTGTCTCATGATTACATCCTGTTATTTTTTGCCATTGTATCTCACGTCCGACTACGGTAACGCTATTAGAAGAGACACGGTACGGTGTCATGATTACCTCCATGTTAAAATCTCATTCTCAGCTCACAGCTCAGTACTCTCTGGGGGATGGCTGCATGATGGTGGGTCCTGGTGCTGCTGCTGTAGCGGGGCGGCGAGGGGTGGGCCATGTTTTTGTTGCATTCCAGGTTACACCCTGTTTTGCTTTTGACTCATGCTGGGAAGGCCTGGAGATTGCATCAAGCCTATGTTAAGTAATCAAAAAGCAAGCCCAGTTATAGTCATGTCCAGACTGAGAATTGCAACTTGGTGGATGTGAAAAAATAAAATGTGTAGAAGTTACACAACAATAAAAAAACAAGAGATCAAGAGATCTAACAACTGCCCAACTCTGGACAACTATTGGCACTTCGGTACTGTAACGTGCTTTATACAACAGTATGCTTAAGAAGTTACAGCAAATGCTTTCCTATAGTGAGTCTGGTCAGCATTGCATAAGGGATAGAGATGTTAAAGGAGCTATATTACTCTCTGACGTATGTTGTGCTAACTACATTGTAATTAATAATAATTAACAAAATGTGTAATTATTAAAAGTATAATTACATAATTTGATTATTGTGCAGGATGATGTGGTATAGTCGATTTCAAATGAATTCCTTTCCAGTTTTGTCATTGAATGACTTGGTGTTGAAAGATAATTAAAACCAGCATAAGTCTCAACTGGCTTTAGAGGACATAACCAGAACCTTTTGATGAATGATAGCCAAATATAATGTCCAGGTTGCTTTTCATTCCTGTGTATGTACAACTACATTTACACTGAGCGCAGGGCATATTCAACTGCATTTCAGCAGAATACTTTTCCCAAAACATTCAGTCGATCTGCTTCTGGGAACACTTTTTCAACACAAGTGATTGTTCTGCCACTGAAAGGGCTCAGTGGGCCTTCCTGCTCGGACCCAAGTGCCAACTTGTCTCAAAGAAATACATTTGTATTGGTTTCCATGGATAAATCTGCATAAGATTGCAAGTTCTGAATTTAATTTAAGCCACATCAGCGCGTAGTTGTCAGTCACTTGGGAATCATGTACCAGTGCTGCAGTGCAGAAAGGAAGTCTCTTTTACTGCTGCAGATATGAGATGTATGTAGCATTATTCTCAA